GAGCATTAGAGACGAAATTAACTTCTTGAGTGAAAAGAGCATAGAGTTCCTTTAATAAAAAACAGAAAGATTAAGAATGATAAGGGTGAAATGATTGTGGTAAAAGAGACCTGATAATTTGGGTTGCTTTATATTATCTAGCAATGTGTTTTAACAGCTTGACAAAGTTTAACAGTTTGATCAAGAGACTTGTCTTTGATATAGATGAAAAATTTATATTTGTAAATTTGAATGGATTTCAGGCTGAAGAAACTTTTGATTCTCAGGAGAGGTGTAGCTAAGTAGTTATATGTACCATATAGTTATGGCTATGATTATGGAAATTACCATTCATTTACCATGTTAAGAGTTTTTTACAGATACAGAAACTAAAGAACAGAGTTAAGTGTACCTGGTTACACAGTCACTCAGTGGCAGATCAGAGAGTCTAACTAGGCAGTCAACTCTGAAGCCTGCATTTTAAACTATACTGGCTGCCTATGACTGATAGATGCATACTCATATTAGGGAAGCAGCATTTTGAGGGATGAATACTTGGAAGTATTAAAATCAAGAAGTGACACTTTTTCATCTTAATAAAACACCATGTTCATCCCTTATCCATATGAGGAAGCTATAGAATTTTCTGGGTCTCCTTGGTTTAGATTCTAGTCTTAGCAGTCTCATTTCTAACTGATATAGCTCTGCTTTGATACAGATGGTGGTTCCCATTTCCTGCAAATTATTTACTTATTCCTGCCTTATAGAATTTTACACATATCATTCGTATTATTTCAAGTACATTTTACTTGTTCCTGACTTTCACTTACTTCAAAACCTGGCTTGAAACCAATCTCTGTAAAATCATCCCTAATAATCCCGTCCAGATCTATGGCCTTGCCACTTTTTTTTTTTTAAAAAAAGAACAGCTTTATTGTGATATAATTTACATATTGTACAATTTGCCCGCCTAATGTGTACAATTCACTGGATTTGGGTACATTCACAGAGTTGTGCAACCATCACCACAATCAGTTTTGAAATATTTTTATCATCCGTAAGAGAAACTCCATACCTATTAACAGTCTCCTCCTGCCCCATTTCTCCCCAAATCCCTCTGCTCTCTAGGAAGCTAAAAAGCATCCTTTCTGTTCTATAGATTTGTCTATTCTGGATGTTTCATATAAATGGAATCATATAATATGTGTGATTTTTGTGTCTGGCTTCATTCACTTGACAGTATTTTTTAGGTTCATCCATGTTGTAGTATGTATCGGTACTTCATTTCTTTTTATTGCTGAATAATATTACATTGTATAGATATACCACATTGAATTTATCTGTTCATCAGTTAATGGACGTTTGAGTTGTTTGCACTTTTTGGCCGTTATGAATAATCCTACTGTGAACATTTGTGTGCAAGTCTTTGTGTGGACATGAGTTTTTATTTCTCGGCTATATACGTAGGAGTGCGATTGTTGGGCCACCTGCACCATTTTACATTGCTGCCAGCAGCATGTGAAAGTTCCAGTTTCTCCACTTGTCAGTGCTTGTGATTGTCTGTCTTTTTGATTATAGCCATCTTAGAAATGTGAAGTGGTATCTCATGGTTTTGATTTGCGTTTCTTTAATAACTAATAAATGATGTACATCCTTTCATACATGCTTATTGGCTGTTTGTAAATCTTCTTTGGCTAAATGTCTGTCTAGATCCTTTGACCATTTTTTAATTGGTTATCTTTCTATTATTGAGTTTTAAGAATTCTTTATATATTCTAGATAGGAATTCCTTATCAGATAGATGATTTGCAAAATTTTCTCCCATCCTGTGGGTTTTCTTTTCACTTTCACAGTCTTACTTGGCCTCCTTCCTGGATCTTTGTCTCTTAGTTTAGATGTAAAAAGAGGTCATAAAAATTAGTTCTCCTAACTGATGAATTTAATGTACAGAACAGAAAATAGGTTGGAAATGCTTGAAATCTAAAAATTAAGTTATAAAGGGATGATTAACCAAGCCATTGGCTTATTTGAAAGAACTTCATAGCTTTCTTTGGTGAAGTTTTACTGAAACAATGAAATTCTGAGTTTTAGTTTATGGTACTTAAAAAAAAATTCAGTGAAATATCTGGCTTATAATGATTTAAAATACTAGATACTATCACTAACTCCTTTGGTATTAAAAATGGTTTTATGCCATCACTACTCAAATATAGTTTAAACAGTATTTCATTAAATGAGAACATCAGTCGTAGAGTGAATTAACACCCAGAATTATTTTTGCTGTTAATTCTGCACAAGATAGTTATACATATTGCTCTGAGATTAAGTGTTATACATATTGTTCTGAGATTATGTGTGCTACATTGGATTAGGGTGAAATTTGTGTGTATTTTCTCAGTTGTAAAAGAATGGCTGTCTTATGCCTACTTTGCAGAGAAAAAGGTAGGATTTTTAAAATATAAACAACGTTACACTTATGTCAGTATTAGGCGGTTAAGTGGGAACTGCTTATGTGAAAGTTGTCAGCATAAACATGTACTAATCAAAAAAAGAAAAGCAAACACTACGCATTCACTAGCTCCGTGGTTTCCTAAATACGGATGTTGGGATTTCCTCATTCCCTGTACTGCTATTTTAAACTTCTATATATATCTAGGACTATTTCTGAGTCATTTATTGATCTCTATATGTCTTTCTTGAATTTGCTTCTAGTGTGTACAAAAACAGTAAACAACTTTTGAAACCCTCCTTTCTCCCACCAGCATCAAAAATTTTTTTAAAAATCTGACCTTTTTAGTTCTTATAGTCGACTTTCTGATTTGATGACTGTCTTAAAATTGACTCAGATTTATTTTGGGTTCTAAAATTGACCCAGCTTCTTTGCAGCCATTGAAAATTATTCTGTCCAGACCACAATACAAATTGTCTTTCTTGATGCCTTCAGAATATTTAGCACCATACAGTTTAGACCTTTTTGAAGTATTCATACCATAACTTTAAGTAAGTTTTGGGTTTATTAAACATTTCACATGTATTTGATCCTCCCAGCAATCCTGTGAGATATTCCCAGTGGTCTTCATGAAATGTAAATCAGATCATATGTCTTTCCTGCTAAAAATCTTTCAATGGCTTTCCATTGCATTTAGCATAAAATCCTTATTACCGTAAAAGCACTATATAGTCTGGCCCTGGTCTACCTCTCCAGCCTTATCTAGCATTTCTCCTCCTCTTGTCATAAACTCCAACCTCATTAATCAGCTCCTCCAATATACCCAACTCCCAGAGTTGTTCTGGCCCTAGCCCATGCTGTTCCTTCAGTCTTAGCTTTTCTTTCCTTACTCTTCCTGAAATAATTGCTATTCATATGCTAAAATGTTACTTTTTCAAAGAGGCTTTTCTTTAGTCTAAATAGAGAGCCTTTTATATGCTTTCATAGCTCCCTGTTCTTTTCCTTCACAGCACTTACCACAATATTTTACTACATATCGTAATTACTTACTGTCTGTCTTCTCCACTGGACTCTGAATTCTGTAAACATAGAGACCTTGGCTATTTTGCTAACCACCTAATCATATGGAATAGCATATACATAGTAGATCTTCAATAAATATTTTTTGATGAATGAATTTCCATTCTTTTTTTTTTTTTTTTTTAAAGATTTTATTTATTTATTTTTCCCCCAAAGCCCCAGTACATAGTTGTCTGTCATAGCTGCACATCCTTCTAGTTGCTGTATGTGGGATGCGGCCTCAGCATGGCTGGAGGAGTGGTGCCTCGGTGCGCACCCGGGATCCGAACCCGGGCCGCCGGCAGCGGAGAGCACGCACTTAACCGCTAAGCCACGGGGCCGGCCCCTGAATTTCCATTCTAAGATGAACAATCTAAAGGTTTTAGTGCTGAGTAACTTTCCTCACAGCAAGAATGTCAGAAAGAGAATTTTGGTCTAGTACTTTTTCTATAGTAAATTTAGAATTAATATCTACTCAGGTCTGATTTCAGGAGATAAAAAAATTTATAAGCAAAAATAATCATGAAAAGGGGCCGGCCTGGTGGCGCAGCAGCTAAGTGCACGCACTCTGCTTCAGCGGCCTCAGGTTCGCAGGTTCGGATCCCAGGCGCACACCGACACACTGCTTGTCAAGCCGTGTTGTGGCGGCGTCCCGTATAAAGTAGAGGAAGATGGGCATGGATGTTAGCCCAGGGCCAGTCTTCCTCAGGAGAAAAGAGGAGGCTTGGCATCGGATGTTAGCTCAGGGCTGATCTTCCTCACACTCAAAAAAATCATGAAAACTAATTGAGGTTGGGTGTGAAAAAAATTCATCAACAATTTAGTGTTTACCATAACTCTAGAAAACCTTGTAAAAGAAAGATAGTGTTTATTTTTTCGTGTAGTCTTAATTGATGTGAAAACATGATAAGTATTTCAGTTCTTATTTATAGCTTGATAATAACATTTTGATACCCTTTTGCTACTTCACTTTATAAAGAGAACCCCTACTATTTCATAAAGTGGGGAATATGGTGTATGATTTCACTAGGCATCTGTTACATCTTTAGGTCTTTGTTAAATAAATGGAATTTGAAGTAAAGGTTAATATAGTAGAAAGAGCATTGAGCTTTAGATTCTGAAAACTAGAATGCGTACTGAAAACAGGCCCTGCATACTCAGTAGTGTTGTGTGACCTTGGTAAGTCACATAACCTCTCTGAGTTTTGGTTTCCCCATCAGCTAACTAAAAAGAGAAAGGAAAAAACAGTTACTCTAACAATAGACTAATGTGAAAACACTTTATACAAAAAACTTTATATAAATATAAAACATTTATATTCTGTTACGTGATATTAGAATTTTAATTTAAACAGGATTGACGTGATCATATCTGTGTTTTTAAAATGTCTGTGGCAGCAGAGTGGAGGACAGATTAGAAGTGAGAAAACTTAAAGCAGAGGGACAAGTTGGGCAGCTCTTGCAGTAATCTATGCTACTAAAAATGGGAGGTACAGAACTAAAGTACTTTGCTAAGAATGAAGAGAGGGGCAGACTTGGTTACCAGATGTTGTGTGGTGAGAGAGAAATATAGGATAATATTCTGGTTTCTGGCTTGGAAAATTAAATTACTGATGACATCATTTATTAAAGGAATACTAGGGAAGGAGTACATATGAAAGTGAAGATAATTGACAATGTTTATGAAAGTACATATGAAAGTGTGAAGATGATGGTTGAAATGTCTATGAAACATACAAGTTGACATGGACCAGTAGGAATTGGAAATATGATTCAAGAACTTGAGGACTGGCCCTGGGATGCAGATTTTGGAATCATTGGTATGAATTACAGTATCGTTGGAGAGTAGGAACAGTGAGAGAAGAAGAAATTAGAGAGCAGCTCTGTGAAATACTAACATTTAAGAAGAGGAAAAAAAGGTTGTTTAAAAAAAAAAAAAAAAAGGGAGGGGCCCGGCCCAGTGGTGCAGCGGTGTGCGCGCTGCGCTGCGGCGGCCCAGGGTTCGCCGGTTCGGATCCCAGGCGCGCACCGACGCACCGCTTGTTGAGCCATGCTGTGGCGGCATCCCATATAAAGTAGAGGAAGATGGGCATGGATGTTAGCCCAGGGCCAGTCTTCCTCAGCAAAAAAAAAAAAGAGTGGCATTGGATGTTAGCTCAGGGCTGGTCCTCCTCACCAAAAAAAAAAAAAAAAATATCCTTCCCCTCAAAAAAAGGAGAGTCACACAGTTAAATGTAAAAAGGATTGAGAAGGTACATAAAATTATAGATCCTTTGGATTTGTTAGGGTGATGATTGGTGACTTTGTGAGAACCTTTTTGAGGGCCTTTGGGGTAGGAAGACCTATTGTGCTAGGTTGAAGAGTAAGTCAGGATTGAGGAAGGAGAAGCTTCGCTGCAAGGACAAGTCAGAAAAATGGGAGTAGATAGAGGAGGAAATGAGTATGTGAATTGGGAGGTGATGTGGGGGGAAAAAGGAAAAGAACTGGCCCTTTTTATATGCTGAGTGGGAAGAAAAACAAGAGAAAAGATAGAAGGAGAAACAAGGGGATAGGGCCTGTTAATGGAGTTAGTCTTCAAGGAGGCAGAAGGAAATTAGATCCAAAGCTATAGGAACAAAAATTATTCACCTTGGATTTAAGGAAGGTTACATCTTCCACTGATGTATAAGGGAATCAGGTATGGAACAAAGGAGTTGGACAGAAAGTTGAGGCTTCTAACTTCCTTGAAAAGTAGGCAACAAGGTTGTCTATTTAACCTGGTTTGAAATAATTATTGGAAATAGAGAAGGCTATACTGGAGACATGCTGGAGGATTGCGGGTCATCTGTGGAGGACTTGAGAGATTGAAGACCGTAGATCTTTAATCTCCATGAGATTTTCTTTAGTAAATTTTGAACCCGGATAATATTAACATTATGATAAAAATTTTCATATTGATGTACTAGTGTGTGAGAATCATGGGTAATGACCAAGTGTGAGGCAGTCTCATAAAATCCCTTGTAATCCACTGATACAGGGGGAATGACAGTGATTAAGCCCCAGCCAGAGGCCTCAACCATAAATAAAGTGACCTTGATCATATTTTGGTATATTCACTTCATAGCTTTTTATATGGGAACACAGCCAGATGGCTCAGTTATTATTCAGAAATATTTCACCTTCAGTCTCATCTATAAGCTGTAGACTCCTTTATGCAAGAAACTTTGTGCTTTGTGTAATAAACAGATCAATTAATTACCGCTCTGTACTTTGGGCTATGTAGATGTTTGCACATTAGCATTTAGATGAATTTTAGATGGTTGCAAGTCTATAGTTTAATGTAATATTTGATACTGAAGCTTGATCAAATTAAAATCAGTATGTATGTCAGTTTTAGGATTTTTTGATTGATTTGCTTATATTATCTTCCCAGATATCAAGGGTAATAATCTGTACTTTCTGTACTTGATGTGTTTTTCTTCTCTTATGAGATGTCACCCAATCATTTTTACTTTTCTGGCTTGCTTACTGGTTGCTCTAGTTACCAAAAGGAAATAATTTCTTGAAAATGAATACATTACTATATATCAGAATCATAATTTGATAAACTTAGAAACAAATCAGGCTTTTCCAAAGAAAATTCTTCAAATCTTATGTTAATTTTTTATTAAAATTTAATGCAAATTCATCTCTTTGGAAGAGATAATATAAAAGACAAATGTGAGATAAATATAAAATTATTAATTTCTTTCAAAAATAGTAGTAAAACTATGCATTTTATACATTTTGCTGTACATATTTTTCATCCTGTTTTTATGCTTGAAATTTCATTTGTTGACTTTATCAGTTTTGTTGGCCTCAACATTATTCGTAGTCTGTACATTTGACTCTACTTCATTTTTGTGCGTGTATATGAAGATGTATAAACATAGAAACTACTATTCTATATTAAATAGAAAACATATTAATCATATTTAATATAGTATCAGGAAGACAGAAGAGTACAAAGAGAAATATAACAAAACACCTGTGTACACCCCTCTTAGTTTAAAAAACTAAAACATACAGATACAGTTGAATCTCCCTGTATATGTTTCCCTAATCCTATCCCTTCCCTCCCTTGCCAGAGGGAGCCACCATTCTGAAATTGATTTTTATTATTCTCTTTATTTATACTTTTAATATATATGTATGAGTCTTTAAATAGTCTGTATTATTTGTGTTGTGTTTTAAAATTTTCTGTAGTTGCACTGTGTGCATATCTATCTTACCTTGATATATTTGTGTTATATTACATGTATCCTTTTACAGCTTGTTTTTTGCTGTTGTTCGACATTGTAGTTTTGAGATTTATCCATGTTAATACATGTTAGTTGTATTTTTTATTTCAATTTTTGTGTAGTATTTCTTGGTATGAATAATGGGTATTAGATTTTTTTCTAGTTTTTCATTCTTACAAATTATGCTGTAGTATATATTTTTATAGTTGTATTCTTGTGAATATGTGTGAGAGTTTCTGTAGGGGTAAACTTAGCAATGGCAATACACGATTGTATGGTGAGCACATCTTCATCTTTAAAAGATGTTGCCAAATAATTCTCCAAAGTGAAGTTTCTAGTTTACACCCCTATTGGCAGGATATGAGTTCCTGTTACTATACATCTTCTCCACACTTAATATTGTTGACACACGTGCGTGTGCTGTGTGTTCACCAGTTTCATGGGAATAATATGATTTGGTATTAATTTGTATTTTTCTGTTGCTAATGAGATTGAGCATCTTCTCATATGTATAGAGGCCATTCTGATTTCCTGTTCTGTGAATTGCCCCTTTTTTTCTTTTCTCTTTCTTTTTTTTTTAAATTAACTTAAAGGAGTTCTTCATGTATTCTCATCTTTTGTTGATTATATGCATGTAAGTATCTTCCCTAGTCTGTATCTTATCTCTTTTCTTGATTGTGTCTTTGTTGAACAAAAGCTTTTCATTTTAACTTTGGCAAGTTTGTCAACCTTTATCTTTAAGATTTTTTGCTTTTCGTCTCAACTCTTCCTATAGTCTAAGGTAACAAGGATTTTATCCTATATCTTTTTAAATAATTATACTTTTGCTTTCATATTTATGTTTTTAATCCAACTATAATTTATTTATTTATTTTGCGAGGAAGATCAGCCCTGAGCTAACATCTGATGCCGATCCTCCTCTTTTTTGCCCTGGGCTAACATCCATGCCCGTCTTCCTCTGCTTTATATGGTGCGCCACCCCATATAAAGTGGTGGCTTGACAAGTGGTGCATTGGTGTGTGCTGGGATAACTGCTGCGCCACTGGGCCGGCCCCTATAATTTATTTTTGTACAGTTAGTTCTGCTGTAACAGCATGTGTTCCTAAAAATCACCATGCTATATGCAAAATCATACAATAAAAACCACAGGGCGTATGTGGGAAAAATGGGGTTGCAGCACAACACTCAAAAAAATTTTGTCAGTGACACATTTAAAAAAAAGATATTTAATAAAAATGGTAGCACAGTTTTACATATAGTAAATTGTTAAGAAATACATAAATACCACAATAAATATGACATTTTTCTTTTGAAAAAGATGAAGTTTGCTTGTGAAAGTGAGATTCAGAAGAGTTGCGGCTTCTGAGTTATTTTGAAGAGGTGGAAGGTTATTTGCAATCTGCCGAGAAGTTATAACAGCAGATGTGGAAAATATGGCTCGTAACACATGTGGTGAATTTAGGTAGATGTTTGAAGTGTATGCGTGTTTTGTGCATACCTCTGCAGCTTAGTATAGCTGGGTAGTTTTTTACATTCAACTAGTGTTTGTTTCCGAGTTTGGACTAGGGTGAAGCAAGCAAGGCACCTAGGGCCTACAATTTAAGGAAGTACTCCCTGTTAGGGTCCCTAGGCATCTCACTTGCCTCACTCTAGTCCTGGGCCTGCTTGTGGATGAAGTAGTGCTTAAGCATACACTGAAATTTGTGTTACTGTCCCCTAATAGATCAGACGTGTTTAACATGTCAAGTCTTCAAAGCAAGTGTTAGAGTAGACCTGACTGCATATGTGAGGTAGAGCTCTAGTTAATTTTTTCCCATATACATCACCAGATCTTTCCTTACTAGTTTGTTTGTGTTTTTTTTTTTATAATTTTATTTATTTTTCCCCCAAAGCCCCAGTAGATAGTTGTATGTCATAGCTGCACATCCTTCTAGTTGCTGTATGTGGGACGCGGCCTCAGCATGGCCGGAGAAGCGGTGCGTCGGTACGCGCCCAGGATCCGAACCCGGGCTGCTGCCAGCAGTGGAGCGCGTGCACTTAACCACTAAGCCACTGAGCCAGCCCTTTCCTCACTAGTTTGTAATGATGCTTTTGGCGTATGTCATAGCACCACATATACATCAGTCTAATTCTTGTTTCTTTGTGCCGTTTTCGTTTTCGTTGGTCTTTTTCCTTCTCCAGATGCCAGTATCACATTTTCTTAATTGCAGGTCTGGAACTAACTTTGTAACCTTGGGCAAGTTAATTTCTGTGTCCCTATGAAATTATAATAGTGCCTACCTCATTGGGTAGTTAAGAGAAAATGAGCCAATATATTAAAGTGCTTAGAAGTATGGGCCTGGCCCAAGGGTAAAATTCAAATGTTAGTTATTTTGTTATTATTAAAAGTAATTTCTACAATTTAATAAAGAGTCTTGATATCTGGGAGATTGAGATTGCCATCTTGTTTTTCCTTTTCCAAACTGTCTGAGAGGAAACAGGGAGAGGCTTGTGGAAAGATTCCTTGAGAAAGTGACATTTAGGCTATCTGAAAGATGATAGAAGTTAACTAGGTGTTGAGAGCAATAGGAAAATATTCTGGACGGAAGGACCCATAAGAAAATGGTGTGTCCAGGAGCTGGAAGAAGTCTCTTGTAGCTAGATCTCAGCACGAAGAAAAATGGTACCAGCAGAGGCTAGAGAGGTAGGTAGGAGCAGATCATGCTAGACCTATTAGGCAATGTGAAGGATTTTAGACTTCATCCTAAAATCAAAGTTATAACTATTTGTAAAGATTGATATTTCATGCCTTTTATTCTTTCTCATAGGTCTAAGAATAAAAGCCATGAAATATCGGTCTTTACAAATAGTTATAACTATTCAAAAAAGAATCTCGGAGGCTCAAATTGGGCCCATCTGGACCCTAATAGCATACCAAGGATTAAGAGTGCTGCTGAGAATGGATAAATTCAGATCTTTGTTCACTTATTTGTAATCTTAGTGAGCTATTGATTCTGTTCTAGGCTTTTATCAGTTCAGATTGAGAATCTTGGGTTTTGGCAGATTCATAGATTAGGAGTAGAGTTTTTAGAGTACAGTAAATCTATGTAAATGTCTTGAAATAAAATTTTTTCATTTATTTGTCCACTTCATCTAATATTATTGTCTTTCGTGGGAACACCTGAGAAAACTACACATTATTTCTGTAATAGATGCTCCTATTTTTTCTCCTTCCCTCATGTTTCATTACCACAGGATTCTACAGGTGAGATATAGGTGGCTTGTAATAGAAATATGATGTCCTTTTTCTATTGAAGGTAGTGTTGGAAGCAGTTAAATATTCATCAGATGGGAGCGTCTCCTCTCATAGTAGTATCATTGTACAGAAAGTAGTCACTCAAGATCTAGGAAAGAGACTTGAACTAGAAATGTTATGGCAGCAGATGAAAACTGCCCAGTACAGACCTCCACTGTAACTGTAAAGGTGTATTAAGTACTTTGGGAGATAAAACCCCATCTTTCAGAAATACCTTTTAGGTAAATATAAATAGAATTTTGATAGTATTCCACAAATAGTTTTGAATGTAAGTTTTGTAAATGACATTTTTAATTACATTATTATTATTAATCTATGAGTTCAACACATTTCCAGTCAAAATCTTAATTGGGTTTTTTTGTGAAACTTGATAAACTGATTCTAAAATTGATATGGAAGAGCAGATGGCCAAAGATGGTTAACACAGTTTGCAGCAACAAGCTGGGAAACTTGTCACCATGCTGACGAGAAATGAATCCTAGGCATTTGAAAATAAGATGAATATAGTTTCAGTAATGCTTATGGTGCTTGGTGTATCACACTTTTGAAATCAGTCAACAACCAATCTTGCTTGCCCCAGCAGATTTTACTCCTGTATGGAAGACAGTTGAAGACAATATTGTTGTTATTAACTTTTGTTGGTAAAGAAGCTAAGTTTTTTTGAAACTTTGATTATAGTTATTATAATCAATCTTGCAAACCTTTAATAATTGCTTTCTTTACCCCTAAAAAGATAGTAAAATATATAAAATTAACATACTATACTTGTAAGGTTTTTGCAAAAGAATCATTTTTCTTATTTCTGTATATTTTACCATATTGCATTTTAAAATTTGTTTTGATTGATTCTTACGTTTACCATTTGAATTTTTGTTCAATTGACAAATATTTTGTTGAATAGCTATTACTTGCATTTTTTAAAAAATGCTAAGGATTTTTTTTTTTAATGTGCGTGTCAGTACTTGTTCTCCAGTGGTAGATATTTATAGAATAATAGAAATAATACTTTACACAAGTGAAATATTTTTCTTCCAAATATTGTGACATTACAGTTATTCTCAATAATCCTTTGAAGTTAGGCATGTGCTTTTACTATAAAATGAAATATCAAAAATAGATGGCTTTTCTGCTGTTCCTATAGTTTCAGATATTTTCCTTTACTGGTTTTCTTTTCTTTTTTAGGTATCTAGTTGATAGTCGCTGGTTCAAACAGTGGAAAAAATATGTTGGCTTTGATAGTTGGGACAAATACCAGATGGGAGATCAAAATGTATATCCTGGACCCATTGATAACTCTGGACTTCTCAAAGGTATTATTTCCTTCTTTCAGTCAGGTTGTAAATGTGTTCATTTCAATATGTTATAGTCAATATATGTAATATGGAAAATGTTAATGTAAGTAAATTGATAGATTAGAAATTTCTTTGTTATAGATTTGACCTAATGAACTCAAATTATTCTGTCATAATTAGTTATTATTCTATATCACAAGTTTGGTTTTTCATTTATGATATAATAAGGGTTTATTATTGTTTAAACCTTTAAATGAAGAATGTAAATTAGATAGCACTATCTTATTATTTGGAGGAAATGCTGTATTGTATATTGCTTTTCCTAATGGACACATGACTTTTTTTTTTAAGTTGATCACTGGTATATGTTTACATTCTTGGACTTTTGCTTTAATCTTCTACAACCCTCACTACTTGCCAGCTCTTCTATACCTCTCATCACATTTGAAGAGAATAAAATATAAGTACCAGAACTTCCATTTCTGGCCAAGGTGGAGTAACAGGGGCTGGATTTATCTTTCCACCTGAATGAACTAAAACCCTGACAAAATATGTGAAACAGTGGTTCTCAAAGCATTGGACATAAGACAACAAAGAACAGTGATCCCCGAGAGATAGGAGACAAATGAGGTGAGCCCTGTGATTGCCTCAGCTTACTGCCTTGAGAGTTTCCAAGATATAGCGCAGTAGGGGAAACTCATGGAGAGCATGTCCATCTCCCTTAGTTGAGGAAAGAGTTTGGAGTCTAGGGAGACCAAGCCTGCCAGAGTTTTCAGGGCAGAGTATCCGAGAGGAATGAGCAGCACAGAGAGACAGAGATAGAGACCTGGAGGTCTGCAGAGAGTCTCTCTCAAGTCTTCAACTGACTGTTAATCAACACGTGCATCCAGGGAAAGAACCACTAAAAAGAATGAGAGAAAACCATCATTGGGGCTCATATAGGACCAATAATAATGTGTTTACAGCAGCCAGAGTGGAAAACCTTATAATTCACGAGGTAGACTACTGAGAATGGTTTTGCCTCTGTAATAGGGCAAAATTAATCGTCTTGTCAGTTCTAATTTGAAGGTGTCAAACTATTTCCAAGTAACTTAGCTGTATCTCAGAACAAAATGCAAGAGTATTTATAGGAATACAAAAATACCCAGTATCCAACAAGATAAAATTTATAATATCTTTGATCCAACCAAATATTACCTGGCATGCAAAGAAGCAGAAAAATATGATGTATAATGAGGAGAAAGAGCAATGTTTACAAAAAATTTTTAAATGGGAAAAAGGAACAAAGAACAAATGAAACAAATACAAAACCAATAATAGCAAGATGGTTAATTTAAACCCAGTTCTATGAATAATCACATTAAATATAAATACCCCAGTTAGAGGTAGAGACTGTAAGAGTGGATTAAAAAATAAGACCCAACTATATACTGTCTACAAGAAACACACTTTAAATATACAGATACAAGTAAATTAAAAGTAAGATTGAAAAAGATATGCTGTGTTGTGGTAAGCAGAATTCTAAGACTGTCCTCCAGTGACCCTCAGTCTTGTGTAATCGTCTCTCCTTTGAGTGGGGGTGGAACCTGTGAATAGGATGCGATGTCATTCCCATGATTATATATGACAAAAGGAAGATTATCCCAGTGAGCTTAATCTAATCACATGTGCCTTTTAAAATCAGAGCGTTTTCTCTGGCTTGTGGCTGAAGAAGTCAGATTCAGAGCATGAGAAGGACTCAGTACATCATTGCTGGTTTGAAAATGGAAGGGACCATGTGAGAAGGAAGACAGGCATCCTCTAGGAACAGAGAGGCCTCAGGCCCACAGCCAGCAAGGAAACAGGAACTTCATACCTGCAACCGTGTGGAACTGAATTCTGCCAACAACCTGAATGGGCTTAGAAGTGGATTCTTCCCAGAGCCTTCAGATAGGAGACCAGCCTGTCTGACATCTTGATTTCTGCCTTTTGAGACCCTCAGTAGGGAACCCAGTTGAGCCCACCTGAACTTCTGACCCACAAAACTGTGAGATAATAAGTCGATATTGTTTTAAGCCGCCATGGTAATTTGTTATGCAGTAATAGAAAACTAATACACATGCTAACACTAATCAAAAGAAAGCTGTAGTGGCTATATTAATGTCAGACATTAAGACAGAACAAAGGACGTTACTAGTGATAAAAGTTCACTTCAGAATCATAAATGTGCTGGGATAATTCATTAAGAGGACATAATAATCCTAAATTTATACCCAGCCAATGGCATAACTTCAAAATATGTGAAGCAAAAACTGATAGATCTGCAAGGAGAAATAGAAAAATATCCACAATTATATAATGAGTATTTCAAGACTCTTTTCTCTGTGAATGATAAAAAAAACATATAGACAGAAAATTAGTAGTGATGTGAAAGAATTGAACACTCTCATCTAACCTGACCTAACTGACATTTGTAGAACATTCCACTGAACAATAGAAGAATGAAAATCCTTTTCAAGTGTGCACATGAAACATTTAGATAGAATATTCTGGACCATAAAATCTGTCTCAATAAAGTTAAAAAGGATTTAAATCCTAAAAATATGTTCTCTTACTACAGTGGAATAAATTAGAAGTTAATAACAGAAAGATAGCTGGAACATCTTCAAATATTTGGAAACTAAGTTAGACACTTCTGTGTAACCCATGGATCAAAGAACTCAAAAGGAAAATTAGAAAGTATTTTTTTTTCCCCCCCCTGGATTTTTTTTTTTTATTGATGTTTTAATGGTTTCTAACATTGTGAAATTTTGGGTTGTACATTTTTGTTTGTCCATCACCATATATATGACTCCCTTCACCCCTTGTGCCCACCCCCCACCCCCACTGCCCCTGGTAACCACAGTCCAGTTTTCTCTGTCCATGTGTTGGTTTATATTCCACGTATGAGTGAGATCATACAGTGTTTGTCTTTCTCTTTCTGGCTTATTTCACTTAACATAATACGCTCCAGACCCATCCATGTTGTTGCAAATGGGACGATTTTGTCTTTTTTTATGGCTGAGTAGTATTCCATTGTATATATATACCACATTTTCTTAATCCAGTCGTCAGTCGAGGGACACTTAGGTTGCTTCCACTTCTTGGCTATGGTGAATAATGCTGCAATGAACATAGGGGTGCATAAGCCTCTTTGGATTGTTGATTTCAGGTGCGTTGGATAGATTCCCAGTAGTGGGATGGCTGGATCATAGGGCATCTCTGGAAAATTAGAAAGTATTTTTAACTAAATGAAAGTGAAAACACATCAAAATTTGTGGAAGGCAGCTAAATAGTATGTGGAGGGGAATTTATAGCCCTGAACACCTATAAAGAAAAGTCTCAAATCAGTGACCTTGGTTTCCAATTTAAGAAACTAAAAATAAGAACAAATTAAATCTAAAGGAAGCAGAAGAAAGGACATAAGTTCCGAACAGAAATTAAAGAAAGAGAAAAATAGAGAAAATGAGTGAAACCAAAAACTACTTCTTTGTGAAAATAAAATTGATAAATATCTAGTTTGATCACAACAAAAAGAGAAAAGACACAATTGCCAATATCAAGAACAAGAGAGGTAACGTCATTACAGAATCTGCAAATAATAAAAGAACAATAACGTAATATTATGAAGTTTAAGCCAATGGCATATTCAACAAATTAGGTGGAAAAGACAAATTCCTTGAAAGATGAAAACTACCAAAGCACATTCCAAAAGAATAGATGGCCTGAATAGCCCTATGTCAATTAAAGAAATTGAATTTGTAGTTTAAAACTTTCCCACAAGGAAAACATCAGACCCACATGGTACCACTGGTGAATTCTACCAAACATTTTAAGGGAGAAATAATACCAATTCTACAAAAACTCTTCCAGAAAATTGGGAGAGAATGCTTCACCTTAAACTATGAAACCATCACTACCTTGGTACCAAAGTCTGACAGAGACATTTCAAGAAAAGAAAACTGTACACCAATATCCCTCATGCACATAGATGCATAAATTCTTAAGAAAATTTTAGTAAATCGAGCCCAACAATAAAAAGGGTATATGTATCATATAGAAATAAATATTAAAAAGATAATATATCATGTAAGATAAAAGAGTAAAATAGAAGGAAATTTCCTCAACCTCATAATGGGCATCTGAAAAACCTACAGGTGACATACTCAATGGTGAAAGACTGGATGCTCTCCCTCCAAAATCAGGAAAAAGGCAAGGATATCTACTGTCAGCTCTTTAAGCCAACATTGTACGAAGGTAATAGTGAGTAAGGCAAGAAGAAGAAATAAAAGGCATGTAGATTGTAATAAATCTGCTTTTATTCATAGATAACTATGTCTATGTAGAAAATTGGATATAATCTACAAAAAAAAACTTCTGGAATTAATAAATGAGATTAGGATACAAGATCATTATTCAAAAAGCAATTGTATTTTTGTACACTTACAAGGAACTAACAGGAATTGAAACTTTGAAAATACATTTTATGGGGCTGGCCTGGGGCTGTAGCGGGTAAAGTGCAAGCGCTCCGCTTTGGCGGCCCGGGGTTCCACAGGTTTGGATCCCAGGCTTGCGCCAGCAAACTGCTTGTCAAGCCGTGCTGTGGCGGCATCCTGTGTAAAGTGGAGGAAGATGGGCACGGATGTTAGCCCAGGGCCAGTCTTCCTCAGCAAAAAGAGGAGGATTGGCAGATGTTAGCTCAGGGCTGATCTTCCTCACGCACACACACAAAATACATTTTATAGTCGTATCAAAAAATATAAAATACTTACAGATAAACCTGACAAAATATGCTCAAGACCTTTACACTGAAAACTACAAGTTTCTGAGAGAAATTAAAACCTAAATAAAGAGAGAAATCATGCTAATGGATCAGAAGACGCAATATTGTTAAATTCCCCCACGCAGTCTACAGATTCAACACAATTCCGGATCACATTCCTAGTCGGCTTTTAAAAAATTGAGATGGAATTTGCATACCACAAAATTCATCCTTTTAA